ATCTATCTATCTATCTATCTATCTATCTATCTATCTATCTATCTATCTATCTATCTATCTATCTTGAGACTGGGTTTCTCTGTGTAGCCTTGGCTGTCCTGGACTTACTTTGTAGACCAGGCTGGCCTCAAATTCACAGAGATCTGCCTGCCTCTGCCTCCCTGAGTGCTGAAATTTCAGGAGTGCACCACAGCACCTGGCTAACCTCTTTACATTTTTTTCTTTTTTTATTTAATTTTTATTAATTACACTTTATTCATTTTGTATCCCCCCATAAGCCCCTCCCTCCTCCCCTCCCGGCCCCACCCTCCCCCTCTTTCTGAATGCATGCCCCTCCCCATGTCCACTGATTGGGGAGGTCCTCCTCTCCTTCTTTCTGATCTTAGTCTATCAGTTCTCATCAGAAGTGGCTGCATTGTCAGGGTTCTAGGTTATCTCCATGAATAGTCCTTGGTTGGAGTATGAGTCTCTGGGAAGTTCCCTGTGTTCAAATTTTCTTGTTCTGTTGCTCTCCTTGTGGAGTTCCTGTCCTCTCCAGCTCTTACTATTTCCCACTTCTTACATAAAATTCCATTCACTCTACCCGTCAGTTGGCCATCAGGCTCACCATCTGCTTTCACAGTCTGCATGGCAGAGGCTTTCAGAGGCCCTCTGTTGCAGGTTCCGAGGTTGCTTCCTGTTTTCTTCTTCTGGCTTTCAGAGGCCCTCTGTAGCAGGTTCCTAGGTTGTTCCCTGTTTTCTTTTTCTTCTGATGTCCATCCTCTTTGCCTTTCAGGATGGGGATTGAACATTTTAGTTAGGGTCCTCTCTTTTGCTTAGTATGTTTAGATGTACAGATTTTACATTTTTAAGGGGGAAAAAACCTTTAAAAGAAAATGACACTTATTTTAATTCCTTTTTTGAAGGTGATAGTTTGCTTGAGTTAAATAAAGAAAAGTTTTGGGGTTGGAGAGATGCCTCAGTGGTTAAGAGTACATGCTGTTCCTGCAGATGGTCCTGATTCAATTTCCAGCACCCAGGGGTGACCCACACTACCTGTTACACTCTTCTAGCCTCTTTAGGCACCACACATATACGTGGCATACATACATACATACACATGGGCAAAACATTTATGCATATAAAATAAAAATAGATTTTTTTAAAAAGTTTTGTGTTGAACATGCAGCTTTCTTCTGCAGTTCTAGCATTTTGAGATACTGAACCAGAAACATTGTTGGCCAGGTGAGTTCCTGTCCTGTACTGACAAGAGCAGTGTCTGCTTCCCTGATAAAGTCCATAGTAGTCAAGACTCCAGAGTAGAAAATGCCAACTAAAAAGAGGGAATGGGGGAGAAGATGAAGGGGGAAAAAAGACAAAAGCCTAGGGTTTTCGGCTCTCTCCTTATTATGATGGCCTGTATGAGCAGTTCTGTTTAAGTATTTAACAAGGCTGCACTTTGGACAAACATGCGCGCACACACACAATCACATGTGCACACACGCACATACACATACTGGCACATGTACACACACCTTTAGTTTTCCTAGCAAGTCCCTTTTTTCTGTATGTCTACTGTGCACCTGCACATTTGTGGATATCCACCGTGGTACCAGACACTCATGTCTTACTTTCTGTGTACACTATGTAATATGTACATAGGTGAGCTCCTGCACAGGCCTCTGGTTCTTCATGTTCAGGGGTCTCAGGCGAAATGGTAGGGGCTAATAAATAGAAAGCCACATTATAATAAACGTTTCTGTAGGCCACAGGAGAGATGTAGATGGCTACCACAAGTCTGAATTGGTCCTCACCAGCCTTGGTCTGGCATCTCCTGGGCCCTCTACTGCAGGTGGCTTCTTTCTGCTCTCTAGCACTGTTAGCAGGTGGGACCTCTGTAGAAAAGTCTTGAAAATAAGAGCCTCAGGTAGAGTCCTTAGATGAACATTTCTGTTACTGTTACTATCTGTCACTTTATCTGTTCTAACAGAGAAGCTTCTAGTCTGTGCTACAGGCATGGGGCAAAGTGTGTAGTGAAGTTACACCAGATGGTTCCAGTTTTAATAACAACATCAAAAGATTGAAGTTGATAGAAAGATTCACCAAGTGTTTGGGATTTTGGGTTCCAACTTTAGAGTTTTTTTGTTTCCACAGACTAATTTTAGAGGAATGGAAAAGAGTGATTCATTCTTTATGGGAAAGAGGAAGAAAGTGAGAAAAGGAAACTTTTAAACCTTGAGTCCTGGAAACACTTGTGCTTTGAGAATCCTCACCAGCCCCTCCCACTCCTCTAAGCAGTTTTCTTGCTGAAAACTCTTTGTTGGATCTAGGGTGTTGGGAGGTTTAAAGGCAGGAGATATTTGCTTACAGTGAAGGCTTTGTTGCCTTGGTGTCATTTGAAAATTTAGGTAACTTTGTGTTTCACATGTCTTGTTAATTGTAACACTGAATCATTGTGTGTGTGTCTAAGTATGCATATCATATCTATTTTAAGTGAAAGTCAATTTTATTTTATTTTTTTAGGAGTGAGTATTATCCTGGTGTTAGTACATATTTATAATCTAGCGTTTAGGAGACTGAAGAAGAATCGTGAGTCTGAGGCCAGCAGTCTAAGCTACAGGAAACTCACAGAAAAGAAGGGGTAGGCAGATGGGCTGGGTAGTTGGCTCCAAGATTAAGGGCACTTACTGCTCTTTCAGAGGACTGGAGTTCAGTTCTCAGTACCCCATGTTGGGTAACTCAATAGCTGCCTTTTATTCCAGTTCCAGGGGATCCAACACCTTCTTCTGGGACACACACACACACACACACACACACACACACACACACACACACACAGTCATTTCTAGCTACTTGGGTAAACTTTTTAACTTACCACACAATACATAGTTTCTGGAAGACTTTTAAGTAACATATGCTGCTTTAAAAATCTGTAGTGTCAGAAACCATTTTCTGTTCTGCTCCTGAGATTTAAGCTACAAAGTAGAGATCTTGGTTTACTTTTCAGTGAATTTGAAGTTTACACTCTGCTGCTCCAGTCTGAAAAAGTCTTAACATTTTTTTTTTTCTTTCATTCTGTGGTGACTTCCTGGCTAGGTGAAAAGTTACGAGTCCTTGGTTACAACCAGAATGGCGAGTGGAGTGAGGTTCGCTCCAAGAATGGACAGGGTTGGGTACCAAGCAACTACATCACTCCAGTGAACAGCTTGGAGAAGCATTCCTGGTACCACGGACCCGTGTCCCGGAGCGCAGCAGAGTATCTCCTCAGCAGCCTCATCAATGGCAGTTTCCTGGTGCGAGAGAGTGAGAGCAGCCCTGGGCAGCTGTCCATCTCACTCAGGTATGAGGGCCGTGTGTATCACTACAGAATCAATACCACCACGGACAGCAAGGTAAGACCTGTCAGTAACCGCATGTACACATGTACTGGATGTAGGAATGTATCAGACAGGGAGAAAGCAGAAAATTATTTTTATGTCTGATGTAAAATAAAGTAGTTCCTGACTTTGTTTGGTCTATCTGGCATGTTAGAGCTTTCTTCTTTCCAAACAACTCAGTAATATAGGTTAAACATTATAAATAATTAAGGGTAAACCATATTTGAAGTTGAGGAATGAAAAGATGCATACAGGTTAGCTGTTTTAATCATCAGCACAAATGCTCAGCAAGTATATATAGAGAGAAGTTACAAGTCAACTCCAAGCCTTTGTAAGGAGAGTAATTTCCAGAAGAAAGTTCACAGAGGGGCTGGAGAGATGGCTCAGTGGTTGGGAGCACTGTCTGCTCTTCCAAAAGACCCAGGTTCAATTCCCACATGGCAGCTCACAACTGTCTGTAACACCAGTTCCAAGGGATCTGACACCTTCATACTAATGCACATAGATTAGAATAAATTAAAAAAAATTAAGTTCACAGAGTAAGAATGCAGAGTTCAGAGACTTTTTCATTAGTGTATATTAATTATATATTATATAATATTAGTATATTATATTAGTGTATATTTTCATTAGTGTATATTAATATAAATAGATTACCCAGCTACTTGAAAACATGTATTTTGGGAAGCTCAATCTGAGTAGAGTGAATGTGTTACATGGGAACTGTTTAGGGCTGGAGAGATGGCTTGGTTGTGAAGAGCACTGGCTATTCTTGCACACGACCTAGGTTTGATTGAGCCATGTGGTGACTCAAAACCATCTACAATCCCAGTTCTGGGAGCTCTAATGTGGTGCACAAACATGTGGGCAAAACAACCATACACATAAAATAATAATAGTAGTTAAATTTTAAAACAAAACTGTTAGGCCTGAACTTATGCCAGTTGTTATGTTGAATGTTCAATTAAATTGAGCTCCCTTTCCTTCCTCTGTATGATATACACAGTTGGAAGGAAGCGGGGCCTCAGAGCAAGCAGAACTGCTTTGCTTTGTACTTAACACCTGTGAGATTTTACCTAAGTCTCAGCTTGCCTGGTGGTGGCAATGGTGGTGGTTTTGGTGATGGGTGATTTAGACAGGGTCTGTATTGAATGTGAGCTTGTAGCAGCCACCCTGCCTATCTTCAGAGTGCTTTGGTTGCGGTGTGCACCGCTACACCCGCTTGGGTTTGTGCATGTGGGTACAGATTACCCTGGAACTGGGGTTGTGAGCTTCCTGGATGGGTGCTGGAGACTGAACTGCAACCCTCTTCAGGAGAATTGTACTCTTAACCACTAATCCATCACTTTAGTCTCCTCCTTGTCTGTTATTAAATCCCATTTTGTAGGATTATCATAAGGATTAAATGAAACAATTTTTGTAAAGTATAAAAGCTGTTACAGAATAGGAAATATATCACTAGCTTCCTTTCTCTTTTTGTACCTTTGTTCAAGCATAATGTGTTGTCTGAATGGGATCAGAGTTTGTGATTTATGAAGAGACCCAGCAGTTATTAGTTGTTTTGTTTTTGTTTGTCTCTATGACAAATATCAGAGAGAAACAGTCAAGAAACATTTATTTTAACTCATGGTTTCAAAGAGTTGAGTCTGCTACCAGCAGCTCTGTGACTTTCAAGCTGTATTCGGGCAGAATGTCATAATGGGGTCACGTGGTACAGCACAACTGCTCACCTCATAGCTACCAGAAAGGGAGCAGAGAGAAGAAGCTTACAGGTTGGACCCACAAGCTGAAGACCAGGTCTTCAGCATGAGTCTTGGGAAACACTTTAAATCTCTTCCTTAACACATACATAACAGAAATGAGCACACATATGTGCCAGGCTTATGCAGGAACATTTATTCACAGCAGCAGGATTTATGGTCACTCCAGACTGGAAGCCCCAAGAGTGTAACTGACTAATATAGAATCTCCTACAGAAACAGAAATGAATATGATGTTCTACACACCGGTCTGTAGGAAGCTGTAGCCTACTAGCTGCTCATATTACCATGTCTGTCTGTCATTATCTGAAGCTGCTTTTGCTTTCTAAGCAGATCTGAGTATTTACTACAGAAATCCTATATAGCCCCAAGCCTAAGATAACTGTTTTCCATCACTGTACAGAGAGTTTTTCTGACTTCTCCTGTAGATGAGTTTTATACGCATAAAGTTGATTGACAGATTAGTATTTGCCAAAGAATTGTGTGGAGAGAATCGTGGGAGTGATCGTTGAGAGCTCTGTGTTTTCTATGGAGAACGATGAAAGTACTGCGATGGAGTTAAACAGTGGTTGATTGGTGAGCCTTGTACATGTACTGAAAGCTACTGAATTGTATACTGACCTTTATAGCATGAGTTATAGATTAATAAGGAGAACTGATGTATGCAGACTCTAGACAACACATATTGTATGGTTTCCTTTCCATGCAGTTTAGGCAGAACTAGTCCCACATGTGGAAGTGGAAACAGCTGCAGCGGTAAACAGGTGGATCCTGAGTGCTAGCGATGCTGCAATTTTTGGTGTGGCTCATGTTTACTGGGGGAGCTTATTTTGTGAAAGACCAGATTCTCCACTTACAAATTATGTACATTTTTATATACAATAAAACAATTTTTCACTTGTTTGTTTAAACATGCCCTAGAATCCTAGCACTCATGTAATTGAGGCAAGAGGATCACAAGTTTAGGACCACACTGGATTATGTAGAGGGACACTGTGTAAAGTGATTAGTTAATTAAAAACAAGTCATACCCCCTTAAAAGATAAAGCCAAAGACTGCTATCTTACTTTGCACTTCTTACCAATTACCACAAACTAGCAAACATCTTGTTAATAACTTTGAAGTCCTGTTATGTCTCTTAATAGCGCAGACATTTAAAAAGGTGTTGTAGAAATAAATAAAATGTATAATTAATTATGTGATTAAATAAAAGTTAGACTCATATTAAGCTCCTAATATCTAAATTAGTATCTGTCAGTTTATGTTCTGTATAGATTATGAGGGCCTACGTCATTAGCTTAGGAGGCAGGTCCTGATTGCCGATTTTAATTACTTCTCTCAGGTTTGGGTTGTTTGTGTCAGCATCTTGCTTTAGCCCAGGCTGACCTGAAACAATTGGTGTTCTTCCTCCAGAGTCTTCTGAGTGCTGCTCTGCACATTCTACACTCTTGCTGCTTTAAATTGTTCTGAGGTCCCTGCAGCTGTGTTGGACGTTCGCCTTCAAGACTAATTTAGAAAGAGTAGAAAGGATGATTAAAATTAGATTAATCCATCTCCCTTGCCCTGGTATTAACACCTACTTTGTCTTAATTATGATAATCTCCTGGGATGCTAGGAACTCCAGTGTGTATACCTGTAATTCTTGTGCTTTGAAGGTGGAGCAGCATCGGGAGTTCAAGGCCAGCCAGGGCTATGTAATGGAGACCCTGTCTCAAAAAAAAAAAAAAAAAAAACAAAAAAAAACAAAAAAAACAGACCAGGCATGGTGGTACACACCTTTAATTTGAGCCCTCTGTAGGCAGAGGCCGATGGCTGTCTGAGTTCAAGGACAGCTAGGGCTATATAGTTAAGACACTGTCTCAACAAACAAAGAAAATACCCTTCCGTCTTCAAGCCTCCATGCCGGTGAAATGTGCTTCTAAAATTAATTCTGTTGATTGTCCTCTTCAGGTGTACGTGACTGCGGAGAGCCGCTTTAGCACCTTGGCAGAGCTTGTCCACCACCATTCTACAGTTGCTGATGGGCTAGTGACCACACTTCACTACCCAGCACCCAAGTGTAACAAGCCAACCGTCTACGGTGTGTCTCCTATCCATGACAAATGGGAAATGGAACGAACAGATATTACCATGAAGCACAAACTTGGGGGCGGTCAGTATGGAGAGGTTTATGTTGGAGTCTGGAAGAAATACAGCCTTACCGTCGCTGTGAAAACACTGAAGGTGGGTTGCTGAGAGTTACATTTCCAGACAGCTTTGTGTGTGTGCTAAATCACTTGGAAAGATTGGTGTGCCCTTCTTCAACTTTGGAACACTTTCCACCCACGGGTGCCAAATACTTCAGCAAATTGTGCTGATTAACTTATTGCCATTGCTGACAGAGCGGGGCAGATTATTCACTGCAGTGCAACCCACGTGTGAAAAAGCCTTCTCTCTGGAGGCTGTTGATACAGAGCTCGGTGGGAATTTAGAAGCAAATTATAAGTTCTGCTGAGAACAAGAAGACAGAATTCTTCACACGCAGTCTACAAATCCTAAGCTCCCTATTTTGGTCTCTCTCCTCATGCCTCCCTCCCCACGTCCTCTATCTTTTTAGTTAAGGTAGAAATGACAGGGCCTCACTGAGTAGTCCAGGTTAGTCTCCAAGTGCTGGGCCTACAGCTGTTACTGCCTGCCCTTGTTTGTAAATTCACACAGGTCCTCTTCCTGCTCTTACTGTCTTTTGTTTTTAAGCCTCCTGGTATAAAGTCACGAGTTGCCACTCATTCTGTGCCCTGGTGTGTCATTCATGTGTGCTGTCCTCGTGGGTAGTCATGAGCCTGGTCTACTAAGCATATTCTGGATGTGAAGGAAGCAGGGAAGCTGTATGACTATGCTTCTGCTTTCTTTTTCTTTTTTCTTTTTTTTTTTTTTTTTTCTGTTTTTCGAGACAGGGTTTTAGTGCAAAGCCCTGACTGTCCTGTAGACCAGGCTGGCCTTGAACTCACAGAGATCCCCCTGCCTCTGCCTCCTGAGTACTGGAATTAAAGTCACCACTGCCCAGCTGATAGGCTTTGTTCTTTAAGAAACACGGACTCTAATTGGAAGACCAAGCATTAAACTACCAGGAAACTGAATCTCTCTCTCCTCTTTATTATGGTTAGTCTGACACTGGATAAATTTGAGGATATATATTTTTAATTTATTTAATTTTATGTGCATTAGTGTGAAGGTGTCAGATCCCTTGGAACCGGAGTTACAGACAGTTGTGAGCTGCCATGTGGGTGCTGGGAATTGAACCCGGGTCCTTTGGGAGAGCAGACATTGCTCTTAACCACTGAGCCATCTCTCCAGCCACCAAATTTAAGGATATTATTCTTAGTTGTTCTTCTATGGTGCATATTAGATTGAAGTAAAGTTCCTTAAAGTAATATGCTAAAATGTTCAAATGATGATCTTTTACTTTAAAAAATATTTTTATTGTATGTATGTGGGTGTTTTGCCTGCATTTAAGCCAGAAAAGGGCATCAGAGTTCTGTAACTACAGGTGATTGTGAACTGCCAAGTGGTGCATTTGGTGGGGACCAAACGCAGGTCCTCTATAAGAGCAGCCTGTGCTCTTAACTCCTTAGCCATTTCTCCAGCTCCCTTTTACTTTTATAGTTGGAGTAGCTTTGTGAGTTGACTTAAATGAATGAGGCAGGTTTGACCTCCTTTTTGTCTTACCTTCTACCTTGAACAGGAAGATACCATGGAGGTAGAGGAGTTCCTGAAAGAAGCTGCAGTGATGAAGGAAATCAAGCATCCTAATTTAGTACAGCTGTTAGGTAAGAACTCAGACCATAGATTTCATAGGCCCATGCTCCCATCCCTGCCCGTTGTCTTTAGATTGTGTTTTTGCAGATTGTTCTGTTTTGTTCTAGCACTGTAAACCACGGGAAATGTTATCTTGATCTGGGGGTATACCCCAGTGGTAGAACACTTGACTACTAAGCATCTAGTCTTGGTCAGTCTTAGTGCTACATACATATGCGTGCACACACTTACACACACACACACACACACACACACACACACACACACACACACACACCCCTTCACATTTTAATTGGCAAACTGTTTATTTGGGTTGATTGCTTTTTTAAAAAATGACTTATTATTCATTTCATTTTATATGTATGCATGCTTTGCCTGGATGTATGTTTGTGCATTGTCCAGTGAAGCCAGAAGAGGACATTGGATCCTCTGGAACTGGAATTACAAGTGGCCATAAGCTGTCTTGTGGGTGCTAGGGATCAAACCTGGGTCCTCTGGTAGAGTAGCCAGTGCTCTTAACCACTGAGCCATTTCTCCAGCCCCTTTAAATTTTTTTTTTTTTCACTTATAATGTAGAGGCGTTTTGCCTACATGAGTGTCTATGTACCACATGAGTGCCTAGTGCCCTTGGAGGCCAGAGGAGGGCATTATATCTCCTGGAACTAAAGTTACACATGGTTGTGAGTTGCCATACATGCTAGGAATCAAACCTAGGTCCACCAGAAAGAGCAACCAGTGCTGTTAACTGCTAAGTAGTCTCTCTAGGCCCCAGATTGATTTCATATGTAAAACTGTCCAGTTTGTGGTTTTCCAGATTCAGAGTTCATTGCGACTATAAAGGAACCTTTGACTAAACATTGTTTTCCTTTATAATTGGGCCTTTCTGTTTGTTTTCTCAGGACAGAGTTTTTCTGTGTAGCCCTGGCTATTCTGGACCTTGCTCTGTAAACAGGCTGACCTCAGACTCGCAGAGATCCTCCTGCATCTGCCTCCAGAGTCCTGGAAGTAAAGGCATGTGCCGCCACCCCCAGCCATTTTCTTTGAATGCTAAAATTAAGTTATCCTCAAAGAAAAATTTAATGTGGAATCTGCCAAATTATCAGTGAAATCCTTGCCTATGAAAAGCTTTTTACAAAGCGCAATTAGAGGCAGGCGGTTTCACCATAGCCTAAGTGCTGTCACTCTAAATTAACACAGTTCATACACTGTTGAAGGGGAATGTGGGCACTTAACAAAACTGTAGAAATTTTGGTCTAACCCCTTGTCAGGTTAGTGCAGAGACTGCTTTTGCTTCACAGGCAGATACTAGAAATGTCTCTGAAGCTTCAGAGAACAGTATGGCATACTGTTTTTAAGTTTTTATTGTATTTATTTCATAGAATGTGGTGAAGAGTGTCAAATTGTTCTTGGTCAGGTGTGTGTACCCTTGAGCCGCCGTTTTACATTGTGACTGAATACATGCCGTATGGGAATCTGCTTGATTATCTCCGGGAATGCAACCGCGAGGAGGTGACGGCAGTTGTGCTACTTTACATGGCCACTCAGATCTCTTCTGCAATGGAGTATTTGGAGAAGAAGAATTTCATCCACAGGTGGGTGAGCCTGGCTGTGGCCTCTGACTAGCCACAGCACTCTTTCTTGACATGAAGGTCAGGGGAACAGTGGCCAGAGCTTTTCACTGAATCTTTCTGTTACAGTTGCAAACGCGAAAACTGTTTTGCCTGACACTATATCCAAGGTTCTCTGCTCCACCTAGTGGCCATACTTTTAAAGTAACATTTGTCTTAGGAAAATGTTTTAAAGCCTTTAGGGGAGGGGCCTGCTGCTACCCAGTTGTACTTAAAGAAGTTCATTTTGTCCGTTGGCTTTATTCTGCCCCCTTGTGGGGACTCAATTTGTAGTAATAATTAGTGAGTTTTTACCATATTGGTGATTATCGTCAAGTACTTCAATGTCAGCAGTTTCTAACCAAGTATGCCTGTAGCACAGAGAAGCAAGACTAGAGTGTTCACCCTTGTCTTTCTCGTCATCAGCTGGAATAACACAGGGTTCTCTTTCCCATAGAGACCTTGCTGCACGGAACTGCCTCGTGGGAGAGAACCATGTGGTGAAAGTGGCTGACTTTGGTTTAAGTAGGCTGATGACTGGCGATACCTACACTGCTCATGCTGGAGCCAAATTTCCTATTAAATGGACAGCACCTGAAAGTCTGGCCTATAATACCTTTTCAATTAAATCTGATGTTTGGGGTAAGGTTGACATAATTTCTTACATGTATTGTTTTGGTTTCTTTGTACATGGTCTTAAATTTTTTTTTTTTAACATAAGCTGTAGCTGGCCTAGTGTTCATTATATAGTCTAGGGCAAAACTTGGGCATTTCTTCAGAGTTTTTTTTTTTTAAGACATATTTATTAGGTACACAGTGTTCTACCTGCATGCCAGAAGGGGGCACCAGATCTCATTATAGATGGCTGTGAGCCACCATGTAGTTGCTGGGAATTGAACTCAGCACCTCTGGAAGAGCAACCAGTGCTCTTAACCTCTGAGCCATCTCTCCAGCCCCTCTTCAGAGCTTTTATGATGCTCAAAAAACAAAAACAAACAAAAAACAGAAAAACAAAAATAAAACCTAAGTTGAGAGGGTGTTGGAAACAGTTGAGAAAGAATGTGGATACCTGCAATACCATCACTCAGGAGCCTGAGAGAGCAGGCTTGGAAGTTTGCCGTGGGGCCAACCTGGGCTGCTTAGCAAGTTGAAGGCCACTTTAGGCTACATAGGGATGGAGTACAGTGCAGTGGTGGGGTACACTGGATCAACCCCAGCACATGAGTTAGCAAGGAAAGAACTGTTAGTGTCCAGCTGGGGTATGGTAACGGTGCCTGCAGTACCAACATGCTGGGTGCTCGTAAGCTCAGATCCTTTCAGTCCGTGAGTTTGAGACCTGCCTAGACAATGTGATGAGACTCTATGTGAACAACTAAGGAGCTTGGCCTGATGGTGTAGGCCTCTGATCTCAGCACGCAGGAGCCTGAAGGAGTAGGAGCATGAGGTGTGCAGGGTGGCCTGGAATATATAGTAAGTCCTAAGCCAGCCTAGGCTATGTCAGAGCCCATATTTAGTAAAAGGGGCTGGGAGGGGAAGCCCATGCCTTGAAGGAGAGTCCATTCCACACTCATACTGCACTGGAGCATAACTGTCTTTCCTCTCTAAAGCTTCCTGCTTTTCATTTGAGGCTTTGCTCATTTCTAGACTTCTATCACAGTGAACACATTATATAGGGAAGGTCTGATAACTTTTCATTTACAGTTTGACCTTGTCCTGAATCTAATTTCTACTGCCCTGAGAAATAGAGACTAACTAGAAAAACCCAATAGACCAAATTAGTATAGGAATTTTTACTTGGGGCCAATAGAAATATGTTTTTTAATCCCTTTACACAGCTTTTGGAGTACTGTTGTGGGAAATTGCTACATATGGAATGTCACCATATCCAGGTATTGACCTATCTCAAGTCTATGACCTACTGGAAAAAGGATATCGAATGGAACAGCCTGAGGGATGCCCTCCTAAAGTGTACGAACTCATGAGAGCATGTAAGTGTTTTGCATGTTTGTGCTTTGAAAAAGAACCAGCAACAGAATGGCTCAGTCTTGTCAGACTGGATCCAGTCTCTTAACAGCTAAGGAGCTTGCACAGTGTGTGATATAACATTGAGTCTTATTAGAATCCTAAGAATATGGAGCTGGAGAGATGGCTCAGAGGTTAAAGACACTGGCTGTTCTTCCAAGGTTTTGAGTTTAATTCCCAGCAACCACATGGTGGCTCATAGTGAGATCTGGTGCCCTCTTCTGGCGGGCAGGCACACATGTAGGTAGAGTGCTGTATAAATAATAAATAAACCTTAAAAAAAAAAAAGAATCCTAAGAACAGTTGTCTGTGGCCCAGATATAGTTCCAGTTTCTCAAAAATCAGTAGTTACTAAAGACTATGATTTTAAAAGTAACTTCTATTGGGCTGAGCGATGACTTGGTGTTTAAGAGCACTTACTCTACAAGCATGAAGACCTGAGTTCAAATCCTATTAACCACATAAAAAGCCTGTCCTGGCTGCACATGCTTGTAACCCCAGTATCAGTGATCTCAGGTGATCCCAAGAGCCCACTGGAGAGCTAGCATACTTAGCTGAAGTGGCAAACTTCTGGGTCAGTAAGAGATCCTATGTCAAGGCAATAAAGCATAGAACAGTAGAGAAAGATGCCCTGTGCTTTTTCTCTGGCATCTGCATCCAAGTACACACTCCCATGCATTTACTACACAAATAAAAACCAAAAAATAATCTCTTACATACATGAACAAAAGCATCAGCTTGCTTAAAGCTGCAAACATAGGAAGCTGAGTAGAAATGAAAGCGTATTGTATTTGCACGTCAACTGTACTGTTTTTTTAGTGTATTTTTGCACTGAGCATTTGTGTCTCATGCTACTCTTTATCGAGTGTGAGCTTGTTAAAGTTCTACACTCAGTTTTTAGGAACCTGGGCATTTTGGGGAAGGGAGGAGAGATGGTATCTCATCATGAAACCCCAGCTGGCCTGGAACTCACTGTGTCTAACAAACTGGCCTTGATCTTATAGTGATCTGCCTGCCTCTGCCTCCTGAGTGTTGGGATTAAAGGTATGTACTACCATGGCCAGCCAATTCACTTTTTAATTTTTATTTTTTTATTTCTGGGTCACGCGTATGTGTGTATGTGTGTATACGTGCACGCGCTGGACTATTAGTATGGAAGTCAAGGAGAGTTTGTGTCAGTCTCCTTCCACCATGCGAAACTCAGGGATTGAGCTTGGGTTGTCAGGCTTAGTGTCGAGTAAGTGTTACCCACGGAGACATCTTGCCAGCTCCTTAGTTCACTTTTTTAATGGGGTAAAACTTTACATTTTCTCTCCACCTTTTCCTCATTTTTGTAGTAGTGGGGATAGGAACCAGGGCTAAATAGGATTAACACCAAGGAGGGGGCACTCACACCTCCAAGGCCCCATAGTTCACGTGTACAAGCTGTAACGTGGACATGCCGTGGAGCGTGGACCTGCTGCCTGGTGTGCCGCTGGCATGAGTCTGTCAAAGAGGCTATAAGTTTTCTTCTGCCACAGGCTGGAAGTGGAGCCCTGCCGACAGGCCCTCTTTTGCTGAAACCCATCAAGCTTTTGAAACAATGTTCCATGACTCCAGCATCTCTGAAGGTGAGTCTTGAGGCAGGGGATTGACTACTGGTGGCCAGTTGCAGGGTAGTGATGGCAATTTCAAAACTGGGAAGCTCCTACAGTTTTTGACTTTGACTTTTTAAAGATAATGAGTTGACTTTTGGTCTTATTCTCCTCCCCCCCCCCCCTTTGAGATAGGGTTTCTCTGTGTAGCCTTGGCTGTCCTGGACTCGCTTTGTAGACCAGGCTGGCCTTGAACTCAGAGCAATTTGTCCCTGTCTCCCTGAGTTCTGGGATTACCGGCATGTACCACCATGCCCAGCTGTGATAACGGTATTTTTATATTTTTTAGTTTTGAATTTTTCTATGTCATATTTCATACTGAAATTACATTTTTGAAATTTACTCAGTCTCTACAAAGAAAGCAATAACAAGTAGTTCTTAAATAACACAATATAAAGAAGATTAAAAAATAAGTGTGAAAATATTCTTAGGGCCTGGAGAGATGGTTCAGCAGTCGAGGCATATGTTGCACTTGCAGAGGGCCAGACCAGAATTCAATGCTCAGCACCTATTCTGGGGTGACTCACAAATAACCTGTAACTCTTTTGGGGTCACCACAACATGAGGAACTGCATTAGGATGGTTGAGGACCACGGCTCTACAAGTTCCATTGCCCTTTTCTAGCTTCAGTGGGCACCTGCACTCATGTACATACACACGCACATAGATGCACACACACATGCATAATTAAAAATGTCTTTAAAAAATATATATTCAACTCTAAGCCACATCTAAGAGAAGACCAAAACAAAACCAAAAAAAAACCGCTATCACAAAATTCCATTTCTAGAAATTGTGAGTATAACCAAGATTCAGCTAGACAGATGTAGCATCTGAGTATAGCTTATAATATAAAAAAAGTAGGACCAGCTTAAACATCTAACAGACTTTTGATTATATAAACATATAACTGATACTTAAATTACATCTTTAAGTATATTAGGCTATCAATAGAGATAAACCTGGCTTTACTCAAGAAATGGATATATGAACATGGGTAGGATATATTTGGGCACATGCAGGAAGTATATTTATGGGCACAAGCAGGAAGTTGCTTGCTTCTGTATGTAGTGCTCCTGAATACTCGCAGAAGTCAAACAGTGAGCAGAAGGCACACCAGTTCGCACAGCACTAAGAGGCTGAGGCAGGAAAAGCTCAAGTTCAAGGCCATCCTAAGCTACATTATGAGATTAATAAAGTTAATACCTGCCCTTTTATGACAGTAGTAAGACCCTGTTCTTGGAGAGCCAAGGATACAGAATTCTTAGTTTTATCTGCCTATTAGATGTTGTGATAGTTCTGAAATTTTGTACATATTTTTCCTTCCCTTTATAACTGCGTGTAATTGACCTTACAAGTTGAAGTTTTAAAAAGTTAGAAGAAATCAAAAAGTTAAATTTTGTCTTCTAGTGATTTTCACATGGGATAAGAAGGGGAAACAAGTACAATATTGGCGTTACAATAAAAATATTTTCATCCTTCTCTCAAGTTGTTGTATCACACACACACATACACCAAATAAGTGTAATAAAAGTTTATCAAGTGTTGACAAATGTATGCAATGTAATTGGTTGTTTGGGAGTGAAGAGCACAAAGCATATTTTTGCCTTAGTAAAGACCACAAAGCCCGTGGCTCAGTTAGATGAGCCAAGGGTGACCAACAGGGTGAACAGGATTTTGATAATCAAGTTCTGGTTGTTTGCTGGCACTGTTTCGAGTGTTGTTCTGATTTTGGTACTTGGGCTTGAACCCAAGATCTCATGAATGTTAGATAAGCACCCCAGCACCTGAGTGACGTCCTCAGCTCAAAAGAATTAGGTGGGGCTTTTTTTCCTGTTGTAGTGGGTTAGTTGTGTGTCAAAGAAGAATAAATTTTTATTACTCTCCTTTTTACAGAAACCTGTAACCTAAAAATAGAAATGTCTATAGACACAAATCCCTTTTATTCAGCATCTGAACAGCATTTAGTGAGGTTATCCAAATGCCTAGTGAGTGGGTAAAGCTGTGAGCAGCATCACTCACCAGCAGGAAATACAGATTAAATCGTACGATTCCATGACATGCCTACCAAGTATGTGAAATTAAAGTTATATACAATATTAACAGCTGCAATTCTGGTAAGCATGCCAAGAAAGTAAGCAGAGCATTTATACACAGCTTATTCGCCGTGGGTGCCAGGTGTTACGGCTGTTACATTGGTCAGAGCCTGATGAAGATCAGTGTGCACCCCATGACCTTTTGGTTTATACCAATTAACTATACCTGAACTTGTGAGCCAAAAACAAAAACAAACAAAAAACCCCACAAGTATCAGGTTGTTCCTAGCCACATTTCACACTAACTAAAACTGGAAACATCCTAAATAAAATGAATTTTGGTAATCTCATCCGTCAGAATTGTGGCAATGAGGAAGAGATCCTGCCACATGCAATAACATATAAGTCTGTAGGGATAGTGTTGAGGAAGAGAAGTCGTCCATAAGATGTTACATGGGCCTGGAAAGTGCTTCAGTTAGTGAAGCTCGGGCACAGGTCAGGGGCCCGAATTAGATCCCCAGCACCCACGTGCAAAGCTGGGCATGACCACACACACCTGCGGGAGATGGAAGTAGGAAGCTCACTGTGCTTGCTGCCCTGTCAATCTAGCTGAAGCAGTGAGCTCTTGGCTGGTGAGAGACCCTGTCTCAATTGGGGAAGACACCTGGCATCGGCCTCTGATCTCCATGTACATGAGTGCCTGTACACAGAAGGCTTTACACTCTGATTTCATTTCTATTTGAATCTGAATTCATTTCATACATAAATTGTATGTTCGATTTTGTTGTTTTCAAGGTGACATCTTGCCATTTTGCCCAGGCTGGTCTCATATTTTGGGGCTGATGGAATACCTCCCTCCCCAGCCTCAGCCTTGTGAGCAGCTGGGACTGTAGCACAGACTGTGCACCCAGCTGCTTGTATGTACTTCAGTCTTCTGCTCTCCGTTTTTTCTTTTCTCAATTGTTCTTGAGAATGCCTTGTTCTCTGTCTTATATTGTCTTTTTACCAGACTTTGTCTTTCTTACAGAGGTAGCTGAGGAGCTTGGCAGAGCTGCCTCCTCATCATCTGTGGTTCCATACCTGCCTCGATTGCCTCTGCTTCCTTCCAAGACACGGACCCTGAAGAAGCAGGGGGAGAACAAAGAGAACATAGATGGGGTCCTTGAAGCCTCCGAGAGCCTGGCCTCCAGCTCGGCACCAGGTAGGAGGGGTCAGAGCAAAAAGTGGATCCCTGAAGAACCAGGAACTGTGATGCTGTGGGCCTTGGTCCTGCACTTCCATCTCCATGCAGCTGCTACCAGCTCTTGCTTTCTCAGCCCCTGGCTCCCTTATAGTTCCCCAGATAGATGATGACAGGTGCATCTGTATTCTAGAGAAGGGGCAAATTCAGACAAACCAGCAAGGGTCACCACTAATATCCACATCACAGTTGAAACACTAGTCACTGAATCAGTGATTGATTTGTTAATTTCCTGGGTATTGCCAACATCTGACATTTAGTAAATGCAGGTAGAACTTTCTAATTTATCACCTCTTGTCTTTCCTGTTACTGATTGGCTATTTCTCAGCAGGATTCATTAGAAGTGCACAGGCCTCCAGTGGGTCCCCAGCTCTGCCTCGAAAGCAAAGAGATAAGTCACCTAGCAGCCTCTTAGAAGATGCCAAAGAGACATGCTTCACCAGGGATAGAAAGGGAGGCTTCTTCAGCTCCTTCATGAAAAAGAGAAATGCCCCCACACCCCCTAAACGCAGCAGCTCCTTTCGAGAAATGGAGAATCAGCCCCACAAGAAATATGAACTCACGGGTAACTTCTCATCTGTTGCTTCTCTACAGCATGCTGATGGGTTCTCTTTCACTCCCAGCCAGCAAGAGTCGAATCTGGTGCCAGCCAAGTGCTATGGGGGGAGCTTTGCACAGAGGAACCTCTGTAATGATGACAGTGGTGGGGGTGGGGGCAGTGGCACTGCTGGGGGCGGGTGGTCTGGCATCACAGGCTTCTTTACACCTCGCTTAATCAAAAAGACACTGGGCTTGCGAGCAGGTAAACCCACAGCCAGTGATGACACTTCCAAGCCTTTTCCAAGGTCCAACTCTACATCTTCCATGTCCTCAGGGCTTCCAGAGCAGGATAGGATGGCAATGACCCTTCCCAGGAACTGCCAGAGGTCCAAACTCCAGCTGGAAAGGACAGTGTCCACCTCTTCTCAACCAGAAGAGAATGTGGACAGGGCTAATGACATGCTTCCAAAAAAATCTGAGGAAGGTGCTGCTCCAGCCAGGGAGAGACCAAAAGCCAAACTCTTGCCCAGAGGAGCCACAGCTCTTCCCCTGAGAGCCCCTGATGCAGCCATCACAGAAAGTGACTCTCCAGGGGTAGGGGTGGCTGGAGTGGCAGCTGCCCCCAAAGGCAAGGAAAGGAATGGTGGGACGCGACTTGGAGTCGCTGGAGTCCCAGAGGATGGAGAGCAGCCAGGCTGGTCTTCCCCAGCCAAGGCTGTAGCTGTCCTCCCAACCACTCACAACCACAAAGTGCCAGTTCTTATCTCACCCACTCTGAAACACACTCCAGCTGATGTGCAGCTCATTGGCACAGACTCTCAGGGGAATAAATTCAAGCTCTTATCTGAGCATCAGGTCACATCCTCTGGAGACAAGGATCGACCCCGCCGTGTAAAACCAAAGTGTGCCCCACCCCCGCCGCCAGTGATGAGACTACTGCAGCATCCGTCCACAGGCTCAGACCCTGAGGAGGAGCCGACGGCCCCACCTGCAGGACAGCACACTCCAGAAACCCAGGAGGGAGGAAAAAAGGCAGCTCCAGGGCCAGTGCCCAGTAGTGGGAAACCTGGGAGGCCCGTGATGCCTCCACCCCAAGTGCCTTTGCCCACGTCTTCCATCTCGCCAGCCAAAATGGCCAATGGCACAGCAGGTACTAAGGTGGCTCTGAGAAAAACCAAACAGGCAGCTGAGAAAATCTCAGCTGACAAAATCAGCAAAGAGGCCCTGCTGGAGTGTGCCGACCTGCTGTCCAGTGCAATCACGGAACCTGTGCCCAACAGCCAACTGGTAGACACTGGGCACCAGCTGCTCGACTACTGCTCAGGGTACGTGGACTGCATCCCTCAGACTCGCAACAAATTTGCCTTCCGAGAGGCTGTGAGCAAACTGGAACTTAGCCTACAGGAGCTGCAGGTGTCTTCCACAGCTGCTGGTGTGCCTGGGACAAACCCTGTCCTTAATAACTTATTGTCATGTGTACAGGAAATTAGTGATGTGGTGCAGAGGTAGCCATTGTCAGCCTAGGGGGAAAAGGCACACATTTCTGAGGGGAGAGGGAAAGGGACTCGTTTTCCTGTGTTCTTGTTTTCAAAAGTAAAAGACTGATACTTGAGTGTGTTTATGTGAAGTACCTCAGATCCCTGAGTTCTCACGTTTACAGGTTCATCTCAAAATAGCAAAAAGGAAATCACATAAGTAGATAAGACATCAGTTTGGTGGATCAGGGCAGTGTGGACAGAATTGGAAACTGCACTGGAAACTGCATCATGTATACGTCATAAAAAAGTACAGCCTTCCCTGTCTGGAATGGCCTGTGGTGATCCATTGGGCTGCTCTCAGTTGTTCCGTATCACGAAACGGGCCTTGACCTGGCAGGTCCTGGGGTTGGTTGTGCTTTAGTTCACCCTACAAATTTGGGGAACAGAAGAAAGTAAAGTGAGGGATGTAGCAGGAGTGTTTTACTCAAGGCTGGTGGAAGTGGCTGTTGGTCTTGCTTCCATGGATCATTGCTGCTGTGTCAAGAACTGCAAATTAGATGGCTAGAATACTCATCTGGGAAACATGGCCCTTTCAATCTGCTTTTGCCGTGCTTGCCATGGGTGTATTAGTTGGTGCAGGAAGTACAGAATACGAGAGAAGTTTAGTCGGAATGACCCCACCAAAACTCTCAAGGTGATGAGTAGTCACTTCCCCTCTTCCAGCATGTTACTTCCTGTGGGCCAGTGTCCACTCACTGCTTCTTGGTGGCTCTCTGTAAACCATGGGTGTAGGGGCCCTCTTGGTGGTTCTTCTCTGTCCCTTGCTGGGCAGGCTGTCTTCCTTTATATCTGGCAGCATTCAGGGCATTACCCAGCATCAATGTTGAAAATAGTGGTCACTACAGGTTCTCATAGGAGAGACTTCTTTTGCCCCTGAATACTGACGTAATGGCCACGTGAGCAGCTATACATAATCTTTTGTTAGATAAAATACCAAGCAGATACAGTACCTTTTGAAAACTGGCCCAGAGGCCTGAGACTGAGGAGCTTGCTTAGTCCACATAGCTACTTGTACCTTTACCCTCCTGAATACCTTAAGCTAATCTGGGTGGACAGTAGGGGAATCATTATTGCCTCCACAGTATTCTCATGTCCTTTTTCTTCGCTCACATATTATCCCCAACCCTTTGTTGCACTTGGAGTTTGTGTTGGAAATATATTTATTTTGTCCTTTCATCTCTATCTAAGAATGCATAATAAGAAGGGGTGGGTTATTTTCAGGGAGTACCAGTTAGATCCAGAAACCGAAAGGTTTAACCTACAGGTAGGTTTTGCCCTTGAAAAATGGGCATTTCCCTTCCCTAATTACAGTTATGGAAGCTATTTAATAGAGTAACATGGAACAGAACAGGTTATATATTATTGAAGTTTTTGGTGCTGGAACTGTTTCCAGTTACTGGCTTTTACTTTGTGAACACCCCTTTTATTCTTCAGAGAGAACCCAATACAAAATGTCCTGGTTTTTCTCCTTCCAAAGGAGTGTTAATGTGGGAAGATAGGAATTCAGCACTGAGCAGTGTTTTCTTCCTGACTGTCACTGATCGGCTGTCACGTCACTGCCCATCTTTTGATCTATTAATTGAAGGCAATAGCCCACATTCTCAAGAGTGTTTTGCAGACTAATACACAGCTTCCTTTGAGAGCTTTTCTCGAAAGCTCTTTACTTAATGTTTTTACGTTGGGCAGCTTTTCATTCTCTTTGCTGAATCACAAATAAGAAACTTTAGAACTGCTGTCTTGACAATAATTGGGCCAGAATCCTAAGGGGAAACTATTTCAAGTTGCATTTGGCATCCTTGACCAAGGAAGAAATTTAGTTTTCATTATAAAGAAATAAAATGTGGCTACATATCACTGCTGCTCCAGATAAGGCTCAGGGTAAGAGGAGGCTTGGGGTGGAGGAGACGGCCCCTGAAGGTTAGTGTTCCCACAGCTGCATTCTGGCTGCAGAATCAGGTTGATGCCCCTGTAGTCTCTGGAAGAGAATGCTCCCTCCTCCTCCTTTACCACTCTCTGCCATTGGATTCACCCATAAACTTGAATTTATTTTAGCAGTTAGCTTTGTACAGGTGGAAAAGAGAAAGCTAAAATTTGAGGCCATTATTAATGCTGCTTTTAAAGTTTATCTCTGTCATAGTGGGATATCTTAAGCAATGGTTGTTTTCAGGTTTGGGTCTTGTTTTGTTTGTTTGTTGTTGGTTTTCCCTTCAGAGTTCTGAAAACAGGCTTGGAGAAACACTACTGAGTCTCTCGGCTCTCTGCTTTTCTCAGTCTGAGGTGCCAAGTCAAGGCCATGACCTGCTCACAGAGGGGCCTCACTAAATCCCTGAGTTTAAGTGACTTTTCTCTCAGTTCTGTCACGAGTAGCATTGGCTGTTGTAGCACAATTCTCTCTGCATGATCAGGAACTGTGGAGTTGTCAGGGATTGAGGTCTTGGGCCAAAGAGGCATTGTCAGCTTGCTATGAAAGAGTTATTTGGGTTTGTCACGTATCTGCCTGCAAGGGGCCAGCTTAGAAAAGGGGAGAGAGGAAAAAAAAAAAAACAAACCAGCAAATTATAAGGTTTGAATCTAGAGAAAACTGCTTTTAGAAACTAAAAATGTAATCTCTTGTATAGCCTAAAAACAAAGCAGATGGCAAGAGAAAAGGTTCAGGGTGTCTGGCAGTTCCTCAAGCCGTTAGATCTATGCATATCTTTGGATTGTCACAGCTTGATTACTTTCATATAAAAGTCTTGTGATTTCAGTTGGATTTCCCACCTTCAAATGCAATGTTCTATATAGAATATATTCTAATTATGCTTTATAGGAAGCTTTTTTCAAGCTTTGGGTACAATGATATTTCACATTTTCAGGTGATTCTCATCATGACGTTCACAGAGAGACCTTAAAATTGGCCCTTTGTAAAAGATGTGTTTTGCAGTGACTTGCACTGAATTGAACATGATACACCAAGTTTTGCTCTGTCATGTAAGAAACTGATTTGGTCATTTTCACGATGGCCTGTGTAAGGTGCGTGCTGCACAGTGGACACTCCATGGTGTTAACTGCTAGTGACAACTCCTGACGCAGAAGCACACGTTAATCCTCCAGAGGGTTTAAAGGAAAGTGGTGAATTAGCCCAACTCTCTATTGGAATTTGGGGTGGGTGGGGTGAGACTAGCGAGTGTGTTTCCCAGAGCTTATCCAGGTTTCACACACTCATCACTGGCAGAAGAGGAGGCTGGAAATATTGGCTGTCACTAGTCCATGTCCTGGAGCAGTCAGTGGCAGAGCTGAGGCTAGAATGCAGGAGCCCTGACACAGCAGCGTCGCTCCACACCTGCTGCCTTGTGAGATGCTCAGCTAGACAATCTGCACACTTGGTGCCGCACACTTCTAAAGCACAGGCTCTGGCAGGCCCTGGCCAGGAGGGGCTTAGATGTTCAGTAATGGCAGTGTAGCTGGACAAGCCACCGTTCTTCCAGACCTCAGCCACACAGAAATCTGCACTTTGTAGTTGAAGAATACCAGCTTCAGTTGTTTAAAAACAAAAAAGAAAAAAAAAAAAAACAGTCCTACATTCCTTTTTGTTCAAAAATAAATCTGTCGTTTGGTGTCATTTTAATGACTGTGAGATAGTGTGTCTGAAAGCACCTTGAGAAATCAAATGCAAACCAGCTGTACAGTTGTATTACAAATGTCTGTACAGGGTGACCCAGCTTGGAGCTGCAGCTAGAGAATCACCTCCATAGTTTGTTGCGAAAGTATCTATGAAACTGCTAAATGAGTATGTGAAGATCCTGCAAATGTTTGCTAACAGTTCAGAGCTAAGGACCTTCAGAACATTAGGGACCAATTCTTTGGTTTAATTCTCATCTTTAAAGTAGTCAGGTGACAGCATGTGATCAACAGTAACAACACTAAGGCAAGAGAGTCAAGCTCAGACCAGCCCGGGCTGCAAAGTGAGACTGGAGGAGGGCTTGCTCCCTTTGGAGCCCGGCGGCTCTCTCAGGCCCTGGACAGGAAGACGACGGCCCTCTTTTTCTTGCGCATTCATCTACTGCACACATGCTGGGCTCTTGGCATCCTTGCCATGGTAGGAGCAGACTCATTTCCCGTTGGTGTTGACAGCATCTTTTTAAAACATGCCTTGGGGGCTTGGAGGGGTTAGGGGAAGAAGACCGATGTACTTGGAGAATTTCTAGAATTTTCTATTGGTTATAAACAACATTGGCATTTATCATCTCCTTAAAAAGTAACTGAGCTTAACTCACCTATTAGTTCTACCATGATAGTCTGGTAGCTAATAACCTATCATACGCTCAGGTGGCTGCACTCTATATTCTGACCACCCTGTATTTTTCTAGTAAATCATGCCGAGGCAGCTTACATCCAGTTTTGCTCTACTCAGACCTCTCCGTGTTTTTCTGCCTTTGCTAGTGATATCATTGTCACCGTTAGGCCATATCTTCCTTCAGGGGAGTTGGTATGGGGTTGAGAGTCGTCTTTGTTCCTGTTCTTAGTGATCTTGCATGCCTTAACTTGCTTCCTCGGAATCTGAGATCCATCTTTTTGCCCTCAGCATCTGCTATGGCCAGTACTTTTTATATTTCCTGTCAACTGCCTTAGGTTCATCAAGCCAGTAGCCCAGTTCTTTGAAATTGCCTGTTTCTGTTTGGGTTTTGTAGGCATGCAGAAGCCTAGAGTAAGGCAGCTCCAAGGGACCCTGCACACAAACCGGCTGAGGCAGCCCAAGGGTTTCTATGGCTCCCATGCTGCCATTGCCTCTGAGGCAGAGAGGTGAGGCTTCTAAAATTTGGCGTACTCCTTAAGTCTTATACATAGAGTTCCAGTTTTTCCAGCATATTGGGTCAGTAGCGCTTGGAACAGTGGCTCCTGTCACCTGCGCTGGTCAGCAGAGCGCAGTGGCCCAGCTTCACTGCTATTGCCTATGGTCCTGCTACTGAGGAGGCTGGCGTGACTCACCCTGCTCTCGAGCACTGGCAGCTGACTCTTGGCTCCAGCTTGTTTTTATAAGGCTGCTACTTGTGTGTGATAACTTTCCTTTTGGACTAGCTCCCCAGGTGCCATGGGAGGACCCTGGATAAGGTGTGGGGCAGTTTATCTTGATTAGAAGCTGCCAGAAGTCATCCTCAGGATTGTACCTTCAAAGATGGGTCCTGAGTGTTGCTGGGAGAAATATGCCTGCTGGGTTGGTGTGCATAACTATTGAACTAGAGCTGTTGTACAAGCCTCACCAGGGTTCAAAGTCCCTGTTGGTTCAGCCCCCCACTCATCTCTGCAAAGGAGATGCCAACTGGCAGGTTGCTGCTACACCTTTCTTAGCCCTGTGTGATGAGCTGAGGGAAGGAAGCCCCTTTTGGACCTGTCCTTCCCTCCCCGCACACTCCCTTAGCTCCATGTACACCTGTAAACCTGATGCTGTTTACGTCTCCTGGATAATAATAATCTCATTTCCCTGTCACTGTAAACCTGAATACAGTAGCAGAACCCTGGTAGCCAGAACGGACAGGTGAGTGGCACACTGAGTGGGTCTGCAAATTTACCGTCATCTAAGGGTCCTCGGACATAGTATCTTCAGGGAAGAATAGGGCTGTTCTGCAGGTCCTGAGTTACTCAGCCGTTCCCAGAGTATGGACCCTAGTCCGTTAGCACATGGAGGAGGCATTGTCATACTAACAAGGTAGTGAAAGGAAATGCTGCGGATTCTGTGGGTGGAGCTCACAGAAGCAAGCTTAGGCTTGCTTCTGAGCCTCTGAATGGTTTAACATCTTGTTTTTTGCAACCATACAATTTAGGGCAGGTGGGACTTAATAACAATTTCCCATACGTAGGTTCCTAGTTTTCAGCAGTTATAAAACAACAAGTTATTGTTGAGTCAGAATAGTGCTGCAGAGGGCTGCGGTGCTCCAGGACCATTAGTTCCCACATTATGTTTGGTATTCTTAAGGACCCAAGCTGTGCATTGGGAGTGGCAAGAATGCTGATGGTCAGGGCCACAGGAACGAGCATTCTTGATCTCCACGGCCAGCTTCCACTATGCCACCTGACCTCCATCTTGAGAAATGGCCTTCAGGGAAAATGAGTATTCAGAAATTAAAGAGAAGGTGAGGTTCTCTCTGCAGCTCCTTATCACCTGTGGCAGTGATGTGGTGAGCATGCCGCCTCGAGCAGCTCCCTGAGCACACTGCACACACAGACCCGTACTTTGTAGCCCCTGCACTTCCTCCCCTTTGCAATCTGGTTCTGTTGTGACTATCAGTGGAGAAACGCCGATTTGTGCTTGCTTGGTAAAAGTAAATATGAACATTTTGTGGTTGATAGAACTTTGTCCTAAAACTTGCTAATTCAGACTCTTTAAAACTAATGTTTATACCAAAGGTTACACTGCAGGCGTAGGTGGTGCACAGAGGGTGACGCCCACAGTGGGCGCTGTGTGCATTGCTAGGGGGACACAGTGCCCAGTGAGACCATATGGGATTTAACTAAAACACATCAGTCTTGGGTCACACTACCACTGCTGTCAAGTATTTGTTCTTAATTGTTACTGTAATATATTTTCAGTTGTTTTTCTAATTTAATTCTCTCACTCTGTTGTCTGACTGTGAACTGCTAACAGTGTTAAACTTGATGTAAATAAATGATGCCCTAGGCAGGGACTGCTTCCTGCTGTGTCTCACAAGGTTTGCAAGTTGTGTTTTGTTTTAAATAAAGGTTGAAATATTTTATCGGCAAAATGAACTTGAGTTGGAGTATTTTTCCCAGGATTTCAATTGACAGGGAAGCTAAGCAGATTTTTACAGGCATTCAGTAGTAGACTGTCAAGTCTAGAAAATGACACATTCTTGGTGGTGTGTGCGCTGTGCTATGAATCCTCATCCTGTGGTGAGTGTTGTACATGCGGTACCTTCTGGAGCCTGGGCTGGCAGATGTCAGGTGAGTGTGTGTGTGTAAGGTGAAGTGATTACACGGAGACATTTAATTGTCTGAAAATCCATTCTGAACACAACTACAAATAAGTTCTTAAAGTGTTTTGAGACAGGTATTAACAGAATTAAGTAGAGATCCTCAAAGAACAGTCTTATTCAAAATTACTTACCTTTTTTTTTTTCATGCTTTTGAGACAGGGCCTCATGTATCCTTCCCAAGGTGGCCTCAAACTTGCCAGGCAACCAAAGACGACCTTGAGGTTAGGATTCCCCTGCTCCGAGGTCACTGTTTTATACCACCACACTCTGTTTCTATGGGTGCTGGCGTACCTGATAAGCAAGCACTCAACAACTGAACAACACTCCCAGGTTCCAGTATCTTTTTGATGCGTTTGTACACATTCGTTGAGAAGTGTGGTGTCCCTGTACATGTGCACGCTGCACTAACGCAGTCGGTGTTGGGCGTATCCATGATCTGTTTTCATGGTGGTGAGAGCATGAAAATCCTTGGGAGCTCGTGAAATACTCTGTGCAGTATCCTTACATAGTGAGCCACTGGGGCAAAACGTGGTGACGGAGTTCTCTCACCTGGCTGTCACTTTGTCGTGGTGGCCGCTGGCCAGTGCGTCCACTGTGGCCCCTCCTCTGGCCCCCAGGCCCAACCCCGGGCCTTGGTGCACTCCTCCCTCCATGAGATCAGTTTCTTGACATTCCACATGAGTGGGGTCATTTTAAGTAACATAATGCCTTCCACATTCATCCACGTTGCCACAACACTGGATTTCATCGGGTTTTATGCTCAAATACTTTTCTCATTGCGTGTGCGTTTCTAGGACCCCAACGTCTTTGATGAAATCTTAGGCTGGTTCCATCTTATATCTACCAGGCATAGTGCTGCACTGAACATCTGTGCAGATGTCTGTCTGACAAGATCCCATTCTCCTCACTCTCTCTAGTGAATTTGTGCTTATCTCAGTATTCCCAGAATTCTGTGTACACTGGAATATCATACATTATAGCATATTTAAAGCAGTCCTGTTAAAAGCATTCTGTTGCTCACATTTTAGTGTATATAAAATTACACATATTTATGGGATATTATGTGTTTCAATCATTGTTTACACTGCATAATGTTGAAATTATGTTAAACACACCTCAAACATTAATTTCTAGTTTTTTGTTTTTAAACAGAACCTTACTGCGTTGTCATGACTGGCCTCATTCTTACTATGTAGATCAGGTTAGCCTTGAACCCTGATCATCCACCTCTCCTTCCTGAATGCTGGAATTACAGGTGTGTGCTACCATGTTCAGCCTCAAACCTTTCTAGCTGGTGTACCTATCTAAAGCCTTTCTGTGGGGGAGGGGTGGTTGATACGGGGTGGCAGCCTTGGCTGTCCTGGACTCACTTTGTAGACCAGGCAGAGATCTACTTGCCTCTGCCTACCAGAGTTCTGGGATTACAAGCGTGCGCTACGGCGCCCAGCTCCATCATTTTTGAACAAAACAAAAATGGAGTTTTATTTTTCTGTGAGTGTTTGTGTGTGTTCGTACCCTCAGGGGCTAGAAGAGGATATTGGATCCTTGAAGCTGGAGTTACAGATAGTTGTGAGCTCTTGGACATGAGTTTTGGGAACCAAATTCAGGTCCTGGATGAGCCATGTCTATCTTAATATTCAAGACAAAATTTCTAACTCCTGCAGTATCCACTGGGGCCTCTCCCTGTTCCCTCCCTCTTTCCTCACCTCCTGCTCCCCTAAAGGATTCCCTATTTCCTTACAATAATTTTATAGTTTCAGATCTTGCATCTGTTTGTTTTGTTGTCTTTTGAGATAGGGTTTCTCTGTGTAGCCTTGGCTGTCCTGGACTCATTTTGTAGACCAGGCTGGCCTCAAACTCTAATCCGCCTGCCTCTGCCTCCCTGAGTGCTAGGATTACAGGCTTGCACCACTGTGCTCGACTCAGATCTTACATTTGTATATTTAATTCAAACTTAGTTGTTTTAACTGAGTTTTTTTTTTTTTTTTTTTAATGCTTTTTGTTTTGCCCTTTTGTGGTGCTGGGGATCAAATATGCTAGGAAAATACCACTGAGATATTCCTAGCCCTTGGTTTTTGAGACATCTCATCATGGAATCCAGGCTGGCCTTGAACTTTGGTTCCTAAGCCTCTGCCTTCCAGGTGCTAGAGATCCAGGTAACCACCTCCATGTCAAGCTATGCACAGTGCCATGCATCACCTCTATACCATTTCCGTAGTGCCTATGCCAAGGTGCATTCTTCCCAACAGTGTCTCAGCATCCCTCCCTCTTCTGGGTCCACCCTAGGATTTGCTGTCTTACTCTGATTGGGTAAGGTGTTTCTTCTGAGTGGAACCATTTTTCCCTCTGGATGGAAGAGAGAAGCTCATGCAACTTAGAATCACAAACCCCTTCCTCTAGGCTGCCAGACACTGAACAGTGGCTGCAGGAGAGAGACTTCGAGGGAGTTGCTTACATGCTACATTGGGCAGAGGGCTCCAGGGATGCAGCTTTTGAGTCACCCTTGCTAGGAGAGGCTTTTCAGTGATGCAGCCACCAGAAAGTCACCCAAATTCCTGTCACAACCCCAATAAATTCATTGATTCACCAGGGTAGACTTGGATGGAATTGTCTCTTTGGTCTGGCATTAGTGTCCTGTTGAGGTGAATAGAAGTTTGTTCATGTCTTTTGTATCTGGAAAAGCTGCATGATGCTATCTTTCAGCTTGGTTGACATTTCCATTTCTTAGGATGAACACTTTGTTGTTGCTTTTGTCTCTTTCCTGAGACTTTCCTTTATAAATATTCTATGCATGAGTGTTTTGTCTTTATGTGTGCACCACACGCATACCTGGCTAGTGCACACATGCCCAGAAGAGGGTACTGAATCCCCTGAGGCACCAAGTGGGTGCTGGGAACTGAACAAGTACTCTGAACCACTGAGCAGTCTCTCTAGACCTCTTGACCGGGTTTCGGTGTATAACTGCCCCGGCTGTCCTGGGCCAGGCTGGCCTACGACTCACCGAGATCTGCCTACCTTTGCCAGGATTAAAGGAATGTGTCACACTTTTGTACTTGATTTATTGGGTTTATTTTTATTATTTATTTGTGGGTTGGTTTTTTTGTTGTTGTTTTGTGAGACAGGGTTTCACTGTGTAGCCCTGGCAGTCCTGAAACTCACTCTAGACCAGGCTGGCCTCAAACTCTATCTCTAACTGCCTATCTCTAACTCCTGACTGCTAAAATTAAAGGCGTGTGCCACCGCCACCTTGCAAGTTTATTTCTTTTAATTGCAAGTTTTATTTATTTATTTATTTTTTGAGTTTTGTCAGGTGTTTTTTTCTTCACCTATTGAAATGTTCCTATGGTTTTTACCTTTTGTTCTGCTAATGTGATATATCACATCTAATGGATTACAGGGGTTGAGCCATGCTTGTATGGCCATGGATGAATTCCTTTTGTTGTGATGTTATATTTGGTTATATGGTTTGTTAAGGATTTTTGTATTGTATTGATCAATGGGCTTTTGGGTTTGGGGTGGTAATTTTTGTTTGATTAAATTAAATTTATATCTTTGTCTGACTTTGCCATTAAGGTAATGCCTCATGTATTGAATTTGGAAGTATTCCTCTTTAATTTTAGAGGCAGTTTCAATAGAATTGGTATTTAGTGCTTGTTTGTCCAATAAAAACCAGCCTTAAACTTCTAAACCCTTTTCCTCAGCCTCCTTGATGCTGGGATTACTAATGTGTTTCACTACCCCCAGGTTTTTAAATGTATTTATTTACTTACTTACTATAGAGACAGGGTTTCTCTAACATAGCCCTGGCTGTCCTGAAACTCACTGTGTAGACCAGGCTAGCCTTGAAGTTACAGAGATCCAACTTCCTTTGAAATAAAAGGCTTATGCTACCATGTCCATCTCAGACTTCTAACTCTTTATAGATCCAGGTTTACTGGCACCAGCCTGTAATACAGTTTAGAAGATGAAGGCAAAAAATCAAGATCATTTTGGAATTACATCAAGACCAGTTTTGGCACATTGTCTCAAAAAGACAAGGTCTTGCTACGGAGCCCCAGCCAGTTGCAAACGCAATGGGCAGTCCAGGTTTTCTTAAGCCTGGCAGCCTCCTGCCTCAGCCTTCTCAGGACTAGAGTTACAGGTGCGTGCTCCTGTAATAACACACATAGCTATTTCATTTTCACTTATTTCCACCGTGATGGTAGACTCATTTTGACCTTGTTGTTTTTCTAGTTCTAGGGCACAGCGCTACTCTGAGATGTGTGTATCGGTGCGATTGCTCAACTGCTTTCCTTATAGGTTTTGTCTCAAGAAATTACAATTTTTTCCGTCTTAATCTGTCCACTGACCTTTTTGGTTGTTCTGAAGAGGGTAAGTCTCTGATGATCCTCTCCTGCTTTTCTGCTTCTATGCCCTGGTGACCACGAGGCATTTCTAAGGTCAGTCCTGTTAGCTCAGGTAAGAGCTGCTCAGCTCTCCAACATCGTCTGTCCTGAGTGGGAGCAAAGAGTGTGCCGCTCGGAGGGGGGCAATCTCTACATGGTTTTGCTTCAGTTCACTTGGTTCTCACTGTGTAGTTCAGTCTGTCCTGGCCTGCTCTGTCCTCCTGGATATGGGATGACAGGCACCACAGCACCTGGCTTGAACAAGAAATTTAAGTCTCATTTCATGCTCACTTGTGTTGCTTTATAAGAAATCTGAATCGTTAAATCCCCATCCTTGGTTTATGGCAGCAGAGCATCTAAACCCTTGAACTTTGTG